TGGTACCTTGCACACGCTGAAGCTTCCCTGTACCTGCAGAAGCAAAACAGCCCCAAAGCATGATTGACCCTCCACCATGCTTCACAGTAGGCAAGGTGTTCTTTTCATCATAGGCCTTGTTCTTCCTCCTCCAAACATAGCGTTGATCCATGGGCCCAAACAGTTCTAATTTTGTTTCATCAGTCCACAGAACACTATCCCACAACTTTTGTGGTTTGTCCACATGGCTTTTGGCATACTGCAGTCGACTCTTCTTATTCTTTGGAGACAGCAAGGGGGTACGCCTGGGAGTTCTGGCACGGAGGCCTTCATTACGCAGTGTGCGTCTTATTGTCTGGGCTGAAACTTCTGTACCCACATCTGACAAATCTTTTCTCAGTTCCTCAGCAGTCACACGGGGACTTCTCTCCACTCTACGCTTCAGGTAGCGCACAGCAGTCGAAGTCAGCATCTTCTTTCTGCCACGACCAGGTAGCGTTTCAACAGTGCCCTTTGCCTTGAATTTGCGAATGATGCTTCCTAAGGTGTCTCTTGGTATGTTTAACATCTTTGCAATCTTCTTATAGCCATTGCCCTTCCTGTGAAGAGAAATCACCTCTTCTCTTGTCTTCCTGGACCATTCTCTTGCCTTCACCATGTTTGTAACCACACCAGTAAATGTCTAGAAGGAGCTGAGTATCACAGTCATTTTAAAGCTGCCTAATTGGTGCTTATTATGCTTGATTGCTGCTCGGTGACATCCACAGGTGTTTTTCAATACCTGATGGAAAGCACCTGTATGAACCTCTGTTCTTCAGAGTGGTAGTCTTTAAGGGGTTGAATAATTGTGGCAATGAAGAAACCACATAAGAACCATTTACTACTGTATTACATAAACAATTGATGTCATTTTAGTTGCATTTGGGTAGTTACAACGTCCTTGTAGGATTTGATTCTGAATACAATTCCAAATGTACACTATAGTCCCTAAACCCCTTTACAGCATTGGGGGTTGAATAATTTTGGACACAACTGTACATACATACATACACACACATATATATACACACACACACACATATATATATATATATATATATATATATATATATTTTTATACACACACACACACACACATATATATACACACACATATGTGTATCTTCTCTACTTTTAACTCTCTACTTTCTCCACCTCCACCCAGTACCTCACTCACTGCCCATGAGATTGCAAATAATTTCAAAAGCAAGATTGACGCAATTCGTAGGGGCATCTCCACTGCACAGACATCCATCCCACTTAGCATACCTTATACTAAACCTCCCTCAACACTTTCCTCTTCTGACCTCGCTACTACCGAAGAGGTTACTAAGGTTTTCCCAGAAGCCCGCCTCACTACCTGCCCCCTGGATCCTGTCCCCTCACAACTCCTACAGTCCCCCTCTTCTTCCATCCTATGCTCCCTCACTCACATCTTCAATCTTTCACTCTCTACTGGTGCCTTCCCCTCCCCTCTAAAGCATGCGCACATCGCTCCCATACTTAAAAAGCCCTCCCTGGACCCCACCAACCTGAACAACTTAAGACCCCTCTCCCTGCTGCCATTTACCTCTAAATTCCTAGAACGCTTAGTCTACAGTCGCCTGAGCTCCCACCTCACCGACAACAACCTTCTTGACCCTTTACAGTCTGGCTTTCGCCCTCTACACTCCACCGAAACTGCCCTACTAAAACTCACTAATGATCTACTAACTGCTGAAACCAATGGCCACTACTCCGTACTCATCCCAACCAATGGCCAACTACTCAGTACTCATCCCAACCAATGACCACTACTCCGTGCTCATCCCACCCAATGGCCACTACTCCATACTCATCCCACCCAATGGCCACTACTCCATACTCATCCCAACCAATGACCACTACTCCGTGCTCATCCCACTCAATGGCCACTACTCCATACTCATCCCACCCAATGGCCACTACTCCGTGCTCATCCCAACCAATGGCCACTACTCCGTGCTCATCCCAACCAATGGCCACTACTCCGTGCTCATCCCACCCAATGGCCACTACTCCATACTCATCCCACCCAATGGCCACTACTCCATACTCATCCCAACCAATGGCCACTACTCCATACTCATCCCAACCAATGGCCACTACTCCGTGCTCATCCCACCCAATGGCCACTACTCCGTGCTCATCCCAACCAATGTCCACTACTCCATACTCATCCCTCCCAATGGCTACTACTCCGTACTCATCCCACCCAATCGCCACTACTCCGTACTCTTACTACTTGACCTCTCTGCCACTTTTGATATAGTTGACCATCCCCTCCTCCTCAAAAACTCCACTCTCTTGGCCTCAGAGACTCTGCTCTCTCCTGGTTCTCCTCCTACCTATCGCAGCGCTCCTTCATCGTTACCTATAATGCTGCGACCTCCTCTTCACTCCCTCTTTCTGTTGGGGTCCCTCAAGGTTCTGTCCTTGGATCCCTTCTCTTCTCCATTTACACCTCCTCCCTTGGTCAATTGATAACCTCCCATGGATTCCAGTACCATCTCTATGCTGATGACACACAAATCTATCTTTCTACCCCTCACCTCACCCCTTTAGTCTCCACTCGCATTACTAACCTACTAAGTGACATATCGGCATGGATGTCACTCCACTTCCTCAAACTCACTCTTTCCAAAACTGAGCTCCTAGTATTCCCCCCAGTCCGTGCCCCTCCCCTGACTTCTCCATCAAGACCAATAACACAATCATCAGTCCCTCCCCCCCATGCCAGGGTACCAGGTGTAATCCTAGACTCCCGTCTGTCATTTCACCCCCAAATCCAATCACTGTCCAAATCTTGTAGCCCCCCCCCCCTCCACAACAACTCCAACCTCCGCAACATCTCCAAGATATGACCGTTCCTAACCTTGGAAACTACTAAGCAACTTATTCACTCCCTTGTTATATCTCGCCTTGAAAATTGTAACTCCCTCCTCATTGGCCGACCTCATCGCTGGCTATCCCCTCTTCAGTCTATCATGAATGCTGCTGCCAGACTCATCCACCTTACTAACCGCTCCGTATCTGCCACCCCTCTCTGCTAATCCCTCCACTGACCTCCATTCAGTGTCCTCCCACCCCTCTCTGCCAATCCCTCCACTGGCTTTCATTCAGTGTCCTCCACCCCTCTCTGCCAATCCCTTCACTAATCTCTACTCAGTGTCCTCCACCCCTCTCTGCCAATCCCTCCACTGGCTTCCACTCAGTGTCCTCCACCCCTTACTGCCAATCCCTCCACTGGCTTCCACTCAGTGCCCTCCACCTCTCTCTGCCAATCCCTCTACTGGCTTCCACTCAGTGCCCTCCCACCCCTCTCTGCCAATCCCTCCACTGGCCTCCACTCAGTGTCCTCCACCCCTCTCTGCCAATCCCTCCACTGGCCTCCACTCAGTGTCCTCCACCCCTCTCTGCCAATCCCTCCCCTGGCCTCCACTCAGTGTGCTCCAACCCCTCTGCCAATCCCTCCACTGACCTCCACTCAGTGTCCTCCACCCCCCCTCTCTGCCAATCCCTCCCTCCACTAGCCTCCACTCAGTGTCCTCCACCCCTCTCTGCCAATCCCTCCACTGACCTCCACTCAGTGTCCTCCACCCCCTCTCTGCCAATCCCTTCACTGACCTCCACTCAGTGTCCTCCACCCCTTTCTGCCAATCCCTTCACTGGCCTCCACTCAGTGTCCTCCACCCCTTTCTGCCAATCCCTTCACTGGCCTCCACTCAGTGTCACCCACCCCTCTCTGCCAATCCCTTCACTGGTTTCCGTATGCCCAAAGAATAAAATTCAAAATACTAACAACAACTTACAAAGCCATCCACAACTCTGCCCTCAGCTACATCACCAACCTGGTCTCAAAATATCAACCAAACCGCTGTCTTCGACCCTCCCAAGACCTTCTACTCTCTAGTTCTCGTGTCACCTCCTCCCATGAGCGTCTCCAGGACTTCTCCCAAGCTTCTCCCATCCTATGGAACTCCCTACCCCAATCTATCCGGCTATCTCCTAATCTATCCAACTTTAGACGATCCCTGAAAACTTCTCTTTAAAGAAGCCTATCCTGCTGCTACCTAGTAAACTGTCATTTATTTCCTCCATTAGCTCCTCCCCCAACAGTGATTACCTTTTGTATCACTCAACCCTTCCTCCTAGATTGTAAGCTCCCGGGATCAGGGCCCTCTGTTTCCTCTTGTACAAAATTGTATTGTAACTGTAATGTCTGCCTTCATTTTGTACAGCGCTGTGCACACTGTTGGCGTCATATAAATCCTGTATAATAATAATAATCAACTGTGGGTGTAGGATTATAACTTTTTTTTTTTTAATGGTTGAACTGAAAAGAAATGTCATCTCCAAACACGGAAAGGTTTCTTCACAGTAAGAGCTGTGAGAATGTGGAATAGACTCCCTCCAGAGTTGGGTGTGGCCAGCTCAGTGGATTGCTGTAGGAAAGTCCTGGATTCTTTCTTGGATACACAGAATATAACTGGATATAACATTTATAGGGAAAGTTGATCCAGGGAATATCCGATTGCCTCTCGTGGGATCAGAAAGGAATTTTTTCCCCTGCAGGAGCAGATTGGATCGTGCTTTGCTGGGTTTTTTTTTTCCTTCCTCTGGATCAACTGTGGGTGTAGGATTATAACTTTTTTTTTTTCTATGGTTGAACTGGATGGACTTTTGTCTTTTTTTCAGCCAGACTAACTATGGAACTATGTCTCCTCTGCTGTGAAGCCTCGGCATAGGCATGATACATATCCCAGGATGCTTCACATGCAGCTGGAGGAAGGTGGGCCGGGGCGGCTCATCACTGGGCGTGAGGGCTGCCCAAGCCAGGAGGAGGCAGACAGCATCCAATGACATCAGCAATCAAGATGGCGTTGGGGAACCTGGCTTGTGACAACGGCGTTGTGCACTACTGACCCCCAATGTAGGGAAATTCATCCCACTGACCCCCAATGTAAGGGACATTCTTCCCACTGACCCCCAATGTAAGGGACATTCTTCCCACTGACCCCCAATGTAAGGGACATTCTTCCCACTGACCCCCAATGTAAGGGACATTCTTCCCACTGACCCCCAATGTAAGGGGCATTCTTCCCACTGACCACCAATGTAAGGGACATTCTTCCCACTGACCACCAATGTAAGGGGCATTCTTCCCACTGACCACCAATGTAAGGGACATTCCTCCCACTGACCACCAATGTAAGGGGCATTCTTCCCACTGACCACCAATGTAAGGGGCATTCTTCCCACTGATCCCCAATGTAAGGGACCTTCTTCCCACCGATCCCCAATGTAAGGGACATTCTTCCCACCGACCCCCAATGTAAGGGACATTCTTCCCACCGATCACCAATGTAAGGGACATTCTTCCCACTGACCCCCAATGTAAGGGACATTCTTCCCACTGACCACCAATGTAAGGGACATTCTCCCACTGATCCCCAATGTAAGGGACATTCTTCCCACTGACCCCCAATGTAAGAGACATTCTTCCCACTGACCCCCAATGTAAGAGACATTCTTCCCACTGACCCCCAATGTAAGAGACATTCTTCCCACTGACCCCCAATGTAAGAGCATTCTTCCCACTGACCCCCAATGTAAGAAGCATTCTTCCCACTGACCCCCAATGTAAGGGACATTCTTCCCACTGACCCCCAATGTAAGGGGCATTCTTCCCACCGACCCCTCAATGTAAGGGACATTCTTCCCATTGACCACCAATGTAAGGGACACTCTTCCCACTGACCACCAATGTAATTCTGTGTAACTATGTTACTGGATGGACTTTTGTCTTTTTCAGCCAGACTAACTATGTAATTATGTAACTATGTGACTTCTTTCGGGTTATTGGCATGCTTCGACGACTCCACAACTGCAGGCAGTAGCGGCTCGAAGACCCAACAGTATTTTTCCTCTAACAACATCAGTACGGCAATTACGACCGAGTCCCGTGCAGGTGCAGGAAATTTCGGAACACCGAGACCATCAACCTCCACTCCGGCAATGACTCGTCTCCCAGCAGCACGCAGGTGGAAAAAAAAAATCCACCTTGTGCAGGAGAAGTTATGAACCGCCAACAGGACCGCCGAAGGTAAAGGCCCAAAACACGCAGCCAAGGTGATCCAGACCGGCTCTTGGCTGCCTCTGCAAGCCCTCATTCCTGCAGAAGACCTGGAGGCTAAACACTCCACCTCCACGTGCCAACCTCCCAAGCGCTTGGCAGGGAAATGAATAAACAAATCTCCCCTGGGCTCCAGGAACCGATCTAGAACATCACATAAATTGGCTCCACAATAGAGGGAAATGGAAGGCTCTGGTGCCAACATTTGCTAAATAATATCATTATCTCTCCCTGGCATCGGCGCAGATCCTTCTCCAGCAGAGACAAAGGTGCAGGATATTAACATTTTCCCACTCTGGCTCCCACCGCATCCGAGGAAAGGTAAGACATTGTCGGGGATTATGCAAGAGGCAGGTGGCACCAAATCTGTTCGCTGATCTCTCTTTTTATACTTGTAGCCTCTTGGCACGCAGACGCGGCATTGTCTGTCAACTGGAAAAAGGTGTTAAACCGGGAGGATAGGAACTTCGGGGGAAGAAACAGAAGAATGAAATGTCGCCGTGTGATGGCAGACGTGTGTCTTCGGTTACCTGTCACCGGTGGGCTCTGTGGAAGCTCCTCGGAGGTAACCCTGGCAGAGATCGCTTCTAGTGTCAGGCCAAGCTGTCCCCGCAAAGTGACAACTCTGGGACTTAGAAACCAGAACGGCGTTCTCTGCTCTGAGCCTTCAAATGTATCGAGGAAAAAAAGAGTGAGAGAGAGAGAGAGAGAGAGAGAGAGAGAGAGAGAGACCGCGCGCCATCAACAACGGGACTTATGTGTCCTCTGACGAAGGCCAGCAAGTTTCTTCAACCACTTTGCCTCTCCCTACGGAGCACATCGACTTCTACATTTCTGCTATGGACCTGTTTATTCAACGATAACGTGGTCATTACTTAACCCCTCGCCCTCCTGAGGATTCCCCCCCCCTCGCCCTCCTGAGGATTTCCCCCCCCCTCGCCCTCCTGAGGATTCTCCGCCCCCTCGCCCTCCTGAGGATTCTCCCCCCCCCTCACCCTTCCAAGGATTCTCCCCCTCGCCCTCCTGAGGATTCTCCGCCCCCTCGCCCTCCTGAGGATTCTCCCCCCGCCGTAGCCCTCCTGAGGATTCTCCGCCCCCCCTCGCCCTCCTGAGGATTCCCCCCCCATAGCCCTCCTGAGGATTCTCCCCCCTCACCTCCTGAGGAATCTCCTCCCCCCTTGCCCTCCTGAGGATTCTCCACCCCCCCTCGCCCTCCTGAGGATCCCCCCCCCCTTCGCCCTCCTGAGGATTCTCCCCCCCCCCTCGCCCTCCTGAGGATTTATTTTCCCCCCTCGCCCCTCCTGAGGATTTTCCCCCCCCCTCGCCCTCCTGAGGATTCCCCCCCCCCTCGATTCCCCCCTCCTCTCCCCTCCTGAGGATTCTCCCCCCCTCGCCCTCCTGAGGATTCTCTCCCCCTCGCCCTCTTGAGGATTCTCCCCCCCTCACCTTCCTGAGGATTCTCCCCCCCCTCGCCCTCCTGAGGATTATCACCCTCCTGAGGATTCTCCCGCCCTCCTGAGGATTCTCCCCCCCCCCCCCGCCCTCCTGAGGATTCCCCCCCCCCTCGCCCTCCTGAGGATTCTTGCCCTCCTGAGGATTCTCCCCCCCCCCCCCCCACCCTCCTGAGGATTCTCCCCCCCTCGCCCTCCTGAGGATTCTCGCCCTCCTGAGGATTCTCCCCCCTCACCCACCTGAGGATTCCCCCCCCACCCTCACCTTCCTGAGGATTCTCCCCCCCCCCTCGCCCTCCTGAAGTTCCCCCCCCCCTCTTGCCCTCCTGAGGATTCTCCCCCCCCCTCGCCCTCCTGAGGATTCCCTCCCCCTCGCCCTCCTGAGGATTTCCCCCCCCTTCCTGACCAGGACAATTTTTGCATTACGGCGCTGCGATACTTTAACTGACAATTGCGCAGTCATGCAACGCCGCACCCAAATGGAATTTACGTCCTTTTTTTCCCACAAGTAGAGCTTTAGGTGGTATTTGATCCTCTGTGCGGGTTTTAATTTTTGCGGTATAAACAACAATAGACCGACAATTTTGAAAAAAAAAAATATATTTTTTTACTTTTTGTAAGAAACCATATACAGTAAAAAAATAAATTTTAAAAATCTAATTTCGGCATAAATTTCGGTCAAAATGTATTCTGCTCCGTGTCTTTGCTAAAAAAAAATCCCAATACGTGTAAATAATTGGTTTACGTGAAAGTTATAGCGTTTACAAATGGCGGTATATATATATACTATGATTTTTATTTACATTTTTCTTATACTAGTAATGGCGGCGATCAGCAACTTATAGCGGGACTGCAGCAGACATCCTGGGGGGGGGGGGGGGGGGGGGGGGGGGGAGTCTGACTTGGTGTCACTGACATCCCCAGTGACACCAATACAGTGATCCATGCAAAAAAAAAAAAAAAAGCACTGATATTGTACTAATGGCAGTGGGCAGGTAGGGGTTAATGTGAGGGGCGATCAAAGGGTTAACTGTGTGCTGGGAGTGGTTTACTAGGGAGTCATGCTGCTATGCAGAGCCATACACAGCAGCATGTCCTTGCTTACAGGGGAGAGATCTGTGTCCTTGACATACAGACCTCTCCCCCGTCAGTGATACTCGGCAATCGCCGGGTGCGGCAGGGAATCTCCAGCCAGGACCCGGTGATTGGCAGCTGTAGCCATCAATGGTCCCCACCCCCTACCCAGAAATACAAAACCACGTATATATACATGATTTTTGCACAGCCCTGCTGCCCTGTAGCAGTATTTATTCTATAGGGCGGCGGGGAAGCAGTTAAAGTGATTGTAAAGGATTTTTTTTATTTTTTGGGGGGTTTTGCACAGAGCAGCCCCAGTCCTTGTCTTTCTGGGTCTCCTGCCGGCGCTCCTGGCTCCTCCCCCTTCAGCAGCACCCCCCCCCCAATAGCAGGCCGCTTGCTCTGGGGATACTGGTGCGTGTTCGTTCCCGAGCCCAGCTCTATGCATCTATGGGAGCCACAGCTCTGCCCCGCCCGAGATAACAATATGTTTTTGTATCTTTCTATAGTCAGAAGTGTTGTTCATAAACACAGTCAGGTGGCTTTTTGACAGCTGCAGCTGCTGACACCTTCTCTGGGTATACAGCATTCCATGCTTTGATTAATCAAAGCCAACAATTGCTGTATCCTGGGGGGGGGGGGGTTCCAGAAGTAGTCCAGAGAGACTGGATGTGCTACACATGTCCTGTGTACAATGATGAACTTGTTGTGGGCCTGTATAGCACGCCACAAAGTCTGGAACTAGTTAAAAAAAAGTGCGTGGCATTCACAAGGCTGTGGTGGAGGAAGTAGATTGTAGGCTCCTCTGTTTCACGGACTAATGTCAATGAATGGGACAATCGGTCACACTGGGGGGGAGGGGGGTGTTACCCAAATTGACCAATGAGATATATATATAATTTTTTTTACATTTAAATATTATTATTATTATTACTATTATATAGGATTTATGGTGCCAACAGTTTGCTCAGCGCTTTACAATATAACGGGAGACAATACAGTACAATACAGTTCAATACAAGAGGGGTAGGAGGGTCCTGATCCTGGGAGCTTACAATCCAAGAGGGAGGGGCTGATCCTGGGATCTTACAATCTAAGAGGAGAGGGCCCTGATCCTGGGAGCTTACAATCTAAGAGGGAGGCCCTGATCCTGGGAGTTTACAATCTAAGAGGGAGGGGCTGATCCTGGGATCTTACAATCTAAGAGGGAGGGCCCTGATCCTGGGAGCTGACAATCTAGGAGGGAGGGGCTGGTGGTACAAAAGGTAGTAACGTTGGGGGATGGACTGGTTGGAAAAGTAGAAGATTCCATTATTAGCTGAGGGCAGGATAGGCTTCCCTGAAGAGATAGGTGTTCAGAGATTGCCTAAAAGTGGGCAGAGTAGGTGATAGTCTGATAAATTGGGGTAGAGAATTCCAGAGGATGGGGGAAGCTCTGGATAAGTCCTGGAGAAGAGCATGGGAGGAGGAGACAAGGGAGCAGGAGGTCGTGCAAGGAGAGGACAGTATATATTTTGAAATATTTTGAATACGGACAAAATTATAGTATTTCAAATATATTTTTCTTCCATGTGGGATGCCCCTTCTGCATAGCCATTCACTGGGAAGATCAGTATGCTGCTGTTTCTCCTCCCCCCAACTCTTATACAGCTGAGAACAGAGGTCATGGGATCACAAAAAAGGAGTGAAAAAAGGTATTTATAATGTTTTTTTTTTATATCTATACACAAATCTCTTGCCTTTTATTTCTATTGGGTTGCTG